TCCCCCCTTAGCTGCAATTCAACCTGTGAGATGTACAGAGAGCTTGTCTGCTACACAGAGGGCTTGCTGGGCAAAACACCGAAGCAAATTTAAAGAAAAGTTGAGGTCTTTCTAGGTTGACTTCCGAACGAGCTACTGTTTTTTTTTTTTTTTCTTTTGTCTCTGGCTTATTCGGCATAGTATTTTCAAGGTTTATCCATATTACACTGTTTCAGAATTTCATTTCTTTTTTAATTTCATTTTACATGGGGCACCTATGAGAACAGAATTTCATTTTTTTTTTCGTTTTATTTTAGCGTATTATGGGTACAAGTGTTAAGGTTACGTATATTGCCCATGTTCCCCCACCCCCTCGAGTCAGAGCTTCAAGCGTGTCCAAACCCCGAACGAGCTACTGTTAATTTAGAAGATATGTATAATTTTGACTAAGGAAATGTGATGACATCGTAAATGGACCACTTGTTTTTTTCCCCAGCATATTATGGGGGGACAAAGTGTTAAGGTTACGTATATTGCCCTTGCCCTCCCTCCCCCCTCGAGTCAGAGCTTCAAGCGTGACCATCCCCTAGTTGGTGCTAATCGCACTCATTATGTTTGTATACACCCGTCCCCTCCTCCCCCCACCTGCCCGACACCCGATAGATGTTATTCCTATGTGTCCACTTAGGTGTTGATCAGTTAATACCAATTTGCTGGTGAGCACATGTGGTGCTTGTTTTTCCATTCTTGAGATACTTCACTTAGTAGAATGGGCTCCAGCTCCATCCAGGAAAACACAAGAGGTGCTAGATCACCGTTGTTTCTTAAAGCTGAGTAATACCCCATGGTATACATATACCACATTTTATTAATCCACTCATGTATTGACGGTGGGCACTCGGGTTGTTTCCACATCTTTTATTTATTTATTTTTAAAATTTACTTATCGCTTTATTTTTTGTTTCTTTTTCTTGCCTTTCCCTTATAAGCTCTCTCAAACACAGCCCTTCAAACTAGAACGTTCTCTAGCCAGCCAGCGTTTAAAGGCAAACCGTGCTGCACCACTGCCTCCCAGAGGCCTTGCTTCCCCACGCTGCTCAAAACCTCCGAGTCATCATGGTTGCTCTGATGAAAAAAAAAAAAAAAAAAACCAATCTGGGAGAGATGGCTCAGGCGGAAGACCGGAGACTGATCGGGTCAACAAGGAAGCTGACTTGCCAGCTCCCTTTTGGCCCAAATAAAGGCTTTGACCATAAAAAAAACCACATCAGCAAGATTATCCTAATAGCTGTGATAAGTGTTTTTTTAATCTCACAATACTGAGCTCATTTAGTAGAAGGCAGGCCTAGAACTTCCTGGACATCTTGGTTTTTAGGCTGTGGATGCTTCTAGAACACCTAGCCTTTCTTAACGCAACGCTCCAGGTGGCCTCACTCTGTTTGGAGTGAGGCTCCAAACAGCTGCCACCCCCTGGGGGGGGGGGCTTTTGCTAAAGCCAATTTCAACCACACACACACCCCCCAGCCAGGGATCAAGGGACAGTTAACAGAAGATAGACAACGCCACGCTAATTACTGGGATGCCATACAATGTGACAAAGAAAACAAATACCCCACCCGTACGTTTTTATATCTGAGGCCCAGTCTTTGAGGTGCATATACCCATGCACACTGGTAGGGGGGAGACTATGAGAAGGGAAATGAGAAGGGTGTTGATGATTGTGCCAATCACCACCTATTTCATTCAGCCACAAGATCAGAAAAGGAAGGTTAAGTGGAGGGAGGTGGTTCCGGCACAGAAACATACAAATGGTTAAGCCTCATAAAAGGAACATTCAAGAGGCTAAAAAACATCAAGGGTGCATGTTTCAGGAAGTGGGGGCGGGGGGAGAAAAACCCTTAAATCCATCAGAACCCCAGGCGGTGGAGATAGAGAATTGGAGAACCGAATGGTTCGTTTCCCTGTGGTTTAGGCAAGTCCTGCCCCTCCGTTTTACAGCCGGGTGGGGAGTCTGAGAACCAAACAATGAGCTGTCAGGTTCCACCAACCATTTCCGGGAAGGGAGAGCTCAAAACGGCCCAAATTCAAGGGATCTCATGGGTAAAGATGAATTATCTTCCCCGGCTAATTGGGATGATGTAACTGAGGCGCTGCCTCTCTTCCAAATGTATTAAGGCACTCCTGGATGGATGAGCGCACGGAGGCAGTGAGCGCTATCGGAACAGGAGCCCAGGTACCGTTATCAGTAGGTACCCAGGAAGGGCAGGCCCCACCTTTCCCGGGAGGGGCCGGCCCTGTGGCCAGGTGTGGGCGCCCAGGCCAGGCCGGGAGGGGAGAGGAAGGGAGCCCTAGATGCCTCGGGTTTGGGGGCAGCGTGCGCCCCCGGGGACCCGCTCACCTGGGGCCCAGGCCCTGCGGACCCGCTGGCCCCGGCTCAGGCCCTACCGACCCGCTCACCTGGGGCCCACGCCCTGCGGAGTCGCTCACCTGGAGCCCCACGCCCTGCGGACCGCTTGCCCGGCCACGACCCTGCGGACCCCCCTCACACCCTGGGCCCACGCCTACCGACCCGCTCACCTGGGCCCAGGCCCTGCGGCCCGCTCGCCCCGGCCGACGCCTGTGGACCGTTCACCCCCGGCGCCACGCGCTACCGACCCGCTCACCCCTGGGGCCAAGGCCTGCGGACCCCGCTCCCCGGCCCACGCCCTGCGGACCTCCTCACCCGGCCCACCGCCTACGACCCGCTCACCTGGGGCCGGGCCACCGACCGCTCGCCCCGGCCCACGCCCACCGTCGCGGTGAGGGGGAACAGCAGCAGCAGCGCGCAGGCGGCGCGGGCACCGAGCCAGCGTCTCCCTCTCCAGCCCAGCACGTCCGCGAAAGCGCCACTGCCCGGCGACCCCCAGCCGGGCCAGCACCTGCGCGGGAGGAAGACGAGGCGGCCAGGCCAGGCCGCGCGGGAACAGGGCGTCACGGGGACCTGCCGGGGCGGCCCGCGCCTCGCACCCGCCCCGCACCCCCACCCCCACCCCAGCGGCGCAGTGACACAGCACAAAGCGCGGCCCACACGTGGCTCCCGCGAAGCCGTGTAGACGCGGCCCACCCGCCCTCGGGAGCCGCCCCGGCTCCGCTCGCAGCGGGCGCGGCCTCTCCGTCGCCCCCCGGCCGGTTTCGCAGAGTCACCCCCAAATGCAGGGAGTTGGGGGGGCGCCCGGCCCTCCGGCCCACGCCCTCCGGGCGCGCAGCTCGGTCGGTCACCGCGGACCACCTGGCGGCCTCCGGTGGGCGCTCCCGGGCTGGGGCGAGCGGCGGGGGGCGGCGGGCGCCGGCCGCCCGCCACTCACTTTTGTTTCAGATCCTGCAAGGCAAAGCGCACAGTCAAAAGGACGCGGTCAGTGAGCCGCCCGGCAGCCTGGCGACGCCGCGGCGCCCCGCACCCTGCGCTCACCCCGGGTTGATTCTCACATCGCCTTGAGCTGCATCTCGGCGAGCCCCTGGAAGAGGCCGCAGAAACAGGCGCGGAGCCGCCCCGGCGCCCGCTTAAGACGCCCCGGCGGCGCACGCGCAGGCGCGCCGCGGGGCGGGACCGGGGGCGGGGGCGGCGCGGGCCGACCGGGCGAACCCCCCTGCGCGGCGCAAAACTGGTACGGCCGGGCCGCGGCCCCGCGCGCGGAGTCATCCCGCCCGGTGCACGCGCGGGCGCCGCGCCGGGTCCCTGGGCGAGGGAAGCGAGCGGCGGGCATCCCTTGGCGGGCACGTTAATGCCGGGCGACGTTTCTGGAAACCCACCTTTCCGGGCCCCTTCCCAGCCACACCCGAAGCTCGGGCCTGGCCTGCGAGTCGGTGGGCAAAAAACGCACAGGTGCCAAACAGGTGTGGCTGAACGCGACCGGAAACCGTAGGACCCCGCGTCTCGGCAGCAGCTTCGCGTTTAGCCTGAATCACACGCCGTCTCCTCCCCGTGTTGAGCCGACCGGTTCGCGAGGTTCGTTGTGCAGGACAATGCCCGGGACGGAAGGCAAGCCTGGGGTCTTCCGACAGACCTTGCTTGGTGACCGCCGAAGCGATGTCACCCGCAGGTAAGCAGTGGCTTGGTCGTGGAGACAGCGCCAAGAAACCCTGGAGTCTTGCAGGACTCCAAGGATGAACGTCGGACGCATAGAAAACCAGAGTCTAAGGGGAAAGATATAAGATTTTGTAGGAGGAGGCCGTGAAGCGGAAGCATGTTTATTTTATTTTTATTTTGTTTATTTATTTTTTGCGTCAGAGTCTCACTGTGTTGGCGCTGGCCTATGAGTGAGTGGCATGGCATCCCAGCACTAGCTCACAGCAACCTCGCAACTCCTGGGATCAAGCGATCCCCCTCCCCTGCCTCCAGCCTCCACCCGGAGTAGCTGGGACTACAGCATGCGCCACCCATGCCGGCCCTAAACTGTTTCTAATAT